CCAGCTTTGGTGGCCTTCCACCCCGATCCCAAAAATACCCCATCCATATCCACATCCGGACCAAACCCTAGCCATTTGCCACTCCACTCCATTTCACTTCACTTTCAGTCCGCTCTGCCCAACTCCTCTCCAATGATCTTTCGCCATTTTCGGCATTTCGGGGCATCGGATCTATGTCCAATAACTTTGGATCCAACGACTGGACCTTATCCTCTGCATGGATGAGGAACAGATAGCTGTCCGACTGGCTTACCACCGGTTTCGGGAGGATATTCCTGCTTTGGTGGGGCTTAGAACCAGCAGCGGCAATGTGCCTGTTGGCGGCTCGAGCCGCGTGTCCGCTCTGAATCTGGCGCCGGCGAGGGCGGTTGGAGGTACATGCACACCCTTGAGGACTGCCCTGTGGCATCCGAGCAACCCTGATGCTAGGTCTTTGTCCCCATGCCGCCTGGCTTCGAGTCTGAGGTCAGTGGTGCCAATGCACATGACCAAGGATACTCCGGATGCTCCAGCTATGGCGGAAAAGCAAGGTCGCGGCATGGCATGCCCACCGTGAGAGGACGAAGGTGTGCCGCGTTAGGCCCCTATGTTGTCTTGGGAGCACTACCATCCACCAGACGGTAAGGGCGGCCGTGGATGAACTTGCTCTATAACCCTGTTTTTTTTTTATAATAGAACATATGCCTAACTAATTTTGGTAGTCTGATGGTATGTGTAATGATGAACTACCGTATGCTATGCCCAGTATGAACTATGTGCTATGATTTATATGAATTATGGAATACGTCGTTTGATCTATGTTGCATGAGATTATATGAATTTGAAGGTTTGAATATGAGGTGACGGTTGTGGACGCGGACAAGTGAGAGGTGCCCGGCGCTGTCTGCGGACTTCATACAGTAGGCCAAATGCAAAGTCCGATCTTATGGTCCGCCTACGTCACACTATGCTCTAAGGTCTACGTAAGACTTGATGAATGATTGAAGATGCTGCACTGGCGAGGAGCAGCCATAGAAATGGCCTTGCAGTGTAGTACACTGGCGAGATGCAGGCTCTGGAGCATGCATTGATCAGGGTGGAGGGGTGGTAGTTGCGTGTAAACTGTTGTACCACTATGTGCATTCATATCACTCGGTCAGCTGCACAGGTTGCTATTATTTGCGGTATAAGAAAAGGCACACGCACCCAGTAAAAACACATCTCGTCTTGCTTCTGTGCTTCCTCTCCCATTGTCACTCTCCCTCTGTTTGCTCGCGAGCTCTGCCCCCATTCCCCTTCTCGCCTCCGCCGTCCGTTGCCGGTTGATCCCGGCCGGCTCCCCCGCCTCCGACACCGCCTCGCTGCGAGTGACTACCGCGTCCGAGCTCCACCTGACGGTAACCCGGTCCTTTCGTCTTCTGTGCGCACTTGTCATTTCTCAACCATAGCATATTTCTGTCCCCAACGACTTTGACGGACTCCGGTGTCCGGTCAATCCGATGGTTGCCAGTGGCGAGAGCTTAGTTCCTCAGTTTATATGGTGCAGTCAACACATTGATATAGTACTTCTTGATCTTTAATCTCCCACGGCTAATTTCCACAGCAGTTTCCTACCCTTCAGCCTGAAATTACATCCGGCAAACTGGTTCTCATGCTTCTGTGGTCAGCACAAACTGTTTACTTTGCTCTTCTTTCACAAGCATATGTGAAAGAAAGTCTCAGTAGCATGACTCTCCGTGTCATTTTTACCCTCTTATTGTTGGTATGTTTCTGTGAATCTGATGACCGCCTCACACCCGCGAAGCCACTCTTGCCGGGCGACAAGCTCGTCTCAAACAATGGCATCTTCGCTCTAGGCTTCTTCTCCCTGGACCCGGAGAACTCCACCGCCGCAAACTCATATGTAGGCATATGGTACCACGACATCCCGGAGAGGACATATGTGTGGGTGGCCAACCGTGACAATCCTATCGGCAGCGGTTTGTCTGGGGAGCTGGTTCTCACCAACACCTCTGATCTTGTCTTGTCAGACTCAGAAGGCCACATCCTCTGGAGGACGACGAACAACGTCACCTCCGGGGGTGATGGTGCCATGGCGCTGCTGCTGGAGGCGGGGAACTTTGTCGTCCAGTTGCAGAATTTCACGCAGATATGGCAGAGCTATGATCACCCGACCGACACCATCCTCCCCAGCTTCAAGTTGTGGGCAAACTACAAGACCCACACAGCAGTGCGTCTCGTTGCTTGGAAAGGTCCTCTGGATCCGTCCCCCGGGAAATTCTTGCTCAGCCGTGACCCCGGCACAGGCCTCCAGATCCTCACCTTGCGCGGGACTAGCAAGTACTGGCGCAGCGGGTTGTGGAACGGTGCACAAGCCTCGGACAAGAACGGATACATGTGGTCCCAGAACGTCGATGACGGGGAGACCATCTACTCGACGTACAACACGGGTAACAGCTCTGCCCGGAGATCGCACTGGAAGCTGGACTACAATGGCGACTTGATGCTCAGGATCTGGACTGGCCGGTCATGGGTGCCTCTGTTCAAGCGCCCGGATGATGGCTGCCGCCACTATGGCTCGTGTGGTCCGTTCGGCTACTGCGACATGTTTGACAAGATCAGCGGCGAGTGCAAGTGCCTCGATGGGTTCAGGCCGGCAGACGGCTTCAGCGCCAACCCCTCCCGAGGATGCGTGAGAAAGGAAAACCTGACATGCCGCGGCGACCATTTCTTGACTTTGCCGGAGATGAAGGTGCCTGACAAGTTTGTGTATGTGAGGAACAGAAGCTTCGAGGAGTGCACTGCTGAGTGTGAGCGTGACTGCTCCTGCACTGCGTACGCTTACACCAACCTGAGCAGCATCGTCGCAACTGGTGGCCCATCAAGATGCTTGATCTGGACAGGGGAGCTTGTTGACTCTGAGAAGGCCGGTATGCTTGGTGGCAACCTCTACATTCGGCTTGCTGGCTCTCCTGGTACGTATTGTGTCGTTACCACTGAACAAACTCATCAGTTGCATTTCTTCCAGAATTGTGTCGGTGCACATTTGTAACAGTCAAGCTAGCCAGTTACTTTTGCTGTCTGCAAATTTTAACTTTCGAAACAAAATCTGTAATTATGTTGAGATCAAAGTTTTAAATAATGGGATATGAGGAATAGTGGCAGCCTCACTAGCGTGCTAAATGGCGCTATAGCGCGCTAAAGCCGCTAAGTTGTACACGACGTCGTTAGCGTGATGTCCCACCAAACACTATAGCACTGATATAGCATGCCATTTAAAACTTTGATGGATTGAGATAGATTTTCAATATCTGCTTTGGTATTATATACGAATTCAAGTAAATTGATGCTATGTTATACTCATTGAGAAAAGGATAAATTCATACTCTCACATGTTATACTCATTCAATCTATGCTATCATCTCCTTCACAGAACACAGTTCTGCAGTAAACACCACGAAGAGCGGTGTCAGTGTGGTATTCAAGATCGCACTTCCAGTTATAACATTCCTGCTGACACTCACATGCATATATCTCGTCTGCATATGCAAGCAAAAAGGTAGAAAGGGACTCCAGTTTACTCTGATATGATCTTTCATGTAAAAGTGTCGAGTATTGATGTTACTGATATTTCTGCAGGGATACAAGTAAACAAGGAAACCCTGAAAAAACCGGCCCTGAAACACCTGAGCACTTCGCAAGAAGTTTGGGATCAAAATTTAGAATTCCAGTCTATTATGTTCGAAGACATTGCTGCTGCAACAAACAGTTTCCATGACACAAACGTACTTGGAAAAGGAGGTTTTGGCAAAGTCTATAAGGTTTTAAAACTTTGACTTTGTCAATTAATTACAACATTGGAAAATCTGTTTCAATAATTATGAAATCACACAGGGAATACTAGAAGATGGAAAGGAAGTTGCTGTTAAAAGGCTTAGCAAGGGTTCTGATCAGGGGATAGAGCATTTTAGAAATGAAGTGGTTCTTATTGCCAAATTGCAGCACAAGAATCTAGTTAAACTTCTTGGCTGTTGTATTCATGAGGATGAGAAGTTGCTTATTTATGAATACTTACCCAACAAAAGCCTGGACCAGTTTCTTTTTGGTATGTTCTAAACTTCTAATCCCATACTATCGAAAGTAATCTCGAATTGACCAAGCAAACTTACTTGTCTGAACGGCTTATGCCTTGCACTCATGTAAATGCATGTCCTGTTCTTGGCAGATATTGCAAGGAAGTTTATGCTTGATTGGCCAAAGAGGTTCAACATAATCAAAGGGGTAGCTAGAGGACTTATGTATCTCCACCAAGATTCGAGAACGACTATAATCCATAGAGACCTCAAGCCAAGCAACATCCTGCTAGACGTGGAGATGAACCCAAAAATATCAGATTTTGGAATGGCAAGGATCTTTGGGGGCAACGAACAACAAGAAAGTACCAGACGAGTTGTTGGCACGTAGTAAGTACTTCTTCAACTAGTCCTTGGTCTGAAAATTTAATTTATAAGCCTGAAATAGCTCAAAATTTTCAAACAGCGGGTACATGTCGCCTGAGTATGCGATGGAGGGCATTTTTTCCGTCAAGTCGGACACCTACAGCTTTGGTATTTTGCTACTAGAGATTGTAAGTGGATTAAAGATCAGTTCACCACATCATCTTGTGATGGACTTTTCAAATCTCATATCATTTGTAAGTGTCACATACTGTGTTATGAAAAATGCTTCAGATTCTAATAACTCAACAAGAAATGCAGTATTAGCAAATATAATTACAAATTTTGCCATTATGTTTTAGGCATGGAACTTGTGGGCAGATGGCAAAGTGGAGGATTTCGTGGACCCAGCCGTCACAGAGAGCTACTCGCTTGATGAAGTGTCCAAGTGCATCCATGTTGGGCTCTTGTGTGTCCAGGACAGCTCCGGTGCTAGGCCTCACATGTCATCCGTTGTGTCCATGCTCGACAGTGAAGCCATGCCTCGCGCAGCGCCGAGGCAACCTATGTATTTCGCGCAGATAAATTACGAAACCAGTGATGCGACAGAAGACCTGAAAAACTCTGCCAATGGCGTGAGCCTTACGGCACTAGAAGGACGATAACTGGCTCATGTAACTGTGTCATTCCTACTAGCTATTAAGATTTACTTATATTTGAAGGAATGTATTCTATGGAAGATTTGTGTCCTTCTTTTCCTTGTTGGCCATGGCATTAAGCCCACTTTTGTTGGGTTGTACCGTTGACATAGATTGAGAATTTTTTGTCAAATTAATTGAACGGTAAGTGTGATAAATGCCTTTTCTTATTTTGGTATTTTCTATTTATTTATCATTATATATACATGTTCACCCTTTTTTGCTATTTTATTTATTTTCTAAAAAATACTTGGAAACAATATTTTGGGTTAAGAAATTCTTTCATGTAGTTTAAAAAATGTTCAATATTTATTTAAACAAGTTCAGCCTGCATTCAGAAATGGTTCAGGTATATGAAAAAATGTTCGTCATGCATGAGAAAAGATATTCAATGTGTATTAAAAATATCTCAAAAGAGTGTATAAACATTCAACATGTATTAAAATAATTTCAGCTTGTATTAACAAAGTGTTGAACATAAATTTAAAAATGGTCATTGTGTTAATTAAAAAAATGTTTCATATGCATATGAAAACGCTCAAGTATGAAATATATATATATATATATATATATATATATATATATATATATATATGCATTTGGTTTTACATTGTTAGTAGTTAAATAAAACTAAAAAAGGGCAAACAAAAAGTAAAAAAGAAATGGATAAAATAAAAGGAAAAGGAAAGAAAAACAGAAAAAGAAAACAAATAAAGAAATAAAACAAGAACAAAGAAATAAAATGGAAATAAATCAAAAAAACATAGGGGGAAATGAAAAATAATATGTAAAAAAGAAACAGAAAAACATGAAATAAAAAATAAAATGGAAAGAGAGAAACAATAACATATAAACTAAAAGAAGGAATCGAATCAATAGAAGGTAAAAGCTGAAAATCAATGGTCTTTGGATGGTCCACACAGACGAGCAGTACATGGTCAACGCACAAAACCAAGAAAAACTTAGATCACACTGGTGACCAGTAGAGTAAGGTTTTGTTTGGCAGTAAAGTATTATAAAAAAAGGGAGTATTGAAAAATACAATATTTTATGGAAATCTAGTTTGGCATTTGGGAGCACATCCTCCTGCGCGTGAAAAATGTTCTTTTTTAATGTCACAAAAATCGGGAAGAAAAAATGTGTTCATGATCACATCCAAATACTACCAGCAAATTTTTAGGGGAAATGGTTAAGCATTATGACTTGTACAAAAAACAAAACAAAAAAATCAAACACCAAATGTTACTTTTAATTTTGTTTTTTACCAATAAAGAAGCGTTATCCCGTTTCGCATGAAAATTGTCAAGCAGGCTTGCTACACGAACATGAACATCTACAGAAAATTCAGATTTATTTATTTATTATTGTGAATTACATGTTTTTTCAGGAGCATATGCTCCCTGGAGCCAAAACTTTCCAATATTTCATGTTTTTTGGCACTCGAGTCCTATCTGCCGCACTTTACGGGAGCCCCTATTCCTCGCATTCAGCGACTATAACTCCCGACTCGGGCAACCAATATGGGTCAGCCCACGCGCGAGCGAGGTCACAGTCTGTTTTTCTGTCTTTTTTTTGACGTTTTATGTTTTCTGTTTTGTTTTTCGTTTTATTTTTGCAATTTCGTTTATACTCTCAAATATTTTAAATATATATTGCAAAAAACTCACAAAACATTTCAAAAATGTTGGGTAAGTATTTGAAAAATGTTAAACAAGTATTTGAAAAATATTATCAAGCATTCAAAAAAAATATTGAACATGTAGTTGAAAAATGTTGAACAAGTATTTGAAAAATGTTAATGTAGCATTGCGAGAAATTTTGAACAACTATTTGAAAAATGTTGATAAAGTATTCAATAGAAATTGAACAATTATTTGAAAATGTTTATCATGCATCTGGAAAAATGTTGAATAAGTATTTGAAAAAAAATTAATCAAGCGTTTAAAAAATGTTGAACATGTATTTGAAAAATGTTGAACAAGGACTTAAAAAATGTTAATCAAGCATTCAAGAAATGATAACAAATATTTGAAATTTTGAACAAGAATTTTTAAAAACATTGATCATATATATTTTGAACAAGTGTTTGGAAAATGTTGAACAAGTATTTGAAAAGTGTTGAACAAGTATTTGAAAAAATGTTGATCATGTGTAGCGAACCAGCTTGAGTTACTGTAGAGAAAAATATTTAGATAAAATTGAGAACATTTTTTAATCATGATTATAAGGAAATAATTTATTATTGCCTCTAGGGCATATTATTGCCTCTAGGGCATATTATAAACATTTATCATGATTATAAGGAAATAAATAATAACTTTATTATTGCCTCTAGGGCATATTTCCTTCAGTCTCCCACTTGCACTAGAGTCAATAATCTAGATTACACTGTAATGATTCTAACACCCATGGAGCCTTGGTGCTGATCATGTTTTGCTCGTGGAAGAGGCTTAGTCAATGGGTCTGCAACATTCAGATCCGTATGTATCTTGCAAACCTCTATGTCTCCCACCTGGACTAGATCCCGGATGGAATTGAAGCGTCTCTTGATGTGCTTGGTTCTCTTGTGAAATCTGGATACGTGACTGGTAAATGTTCTCCTTCATATAGAAAAGAACTTCCCCTCCAAATACCCTACTTCGTGGTCCACTCAATGTTCTTCCAGTCCCTATTTCTTATCATTTTTTATCAATGGGTATACCTAAATACGTGACTGGTAAAATCCCAGCCTTGCAGGTGAAGATTTGTCAAGAGTATGTTGTTTTTTCTTAGTCTCCCCTGTATTACTTTACAGGACGTACCCAAATGGACTATCCCCTTGAATAGACCAAATATGTGATACGGTCTGCCTCATGGCTATCCTGAGATTACTTCTATCATAGGCCTTTTGTTCCACCCGCCTTGAAAATCCTACATCCTCAAGACTATAATTGCTGCCCTAGGGTTTTTAGACGGAGACCCACAAAGACCCGCTTTAGATATGTTTTTTTATACATGATTTTTTGGCCCACATCAGTACAGTTACTAAGCTCCCACGAATTCAAGGTCCCTGGTGAATCGAGGCTGGTTTTTATGGAGGACATCCCGATTTGGGTCAACCTGCTGTCGGATGTGGCGTGTGTATGCCGTGCACGCTCGAGGGATTTCCGGTTTTTTTAGGGTCAACATTGATGCTTCTTATTTAGCCAGCATAGCTGAGAATGTCATCAGAAATTACAGAGAGAACAAAGTCTGGGGGAGACCCCAACCACACCTTACACAACTCATCACCTACACCTACTTTAGCTAACTTGTGAGCAGCAACATTGGCAGTACGACAAACCCAAGTCACGCGATACTCAGCCCGAGTATGCAACCGCTCCTTAATCTCCTCAATCCACGAACCAACAGCTGCCATGCACTTATGACGATCATTTAGCATTTGCACAACAGGCAGGCTGTCCAGCTCCAGATGGACACTTTGAAATCCTCTCTCAATAGCAAGGAGTAAACCACTTTTGCAGGCGAGGATTTCCACAGCCTCCGGGTCAACCGAGCGATTGAAGAACTGACGGGCACCTGCAAGAAAAGCACCCCCAGCATCACGAATAACCACTCCGGCGCCCCCCTTCTCCCCATTCCCAGCGACGACACCATCAGAGTTGACCTTCACCCACCCCTGAGACGGAGGCTTCCATCGCTGCACAGTTCTGGCCTGCGGCACCCTCGCTGCGGCGTCGTGAACTTGTCTCCACTCGATCAAGTGGGAGTAGATAGACTCCATGATTTCATGTGGGGATGCCATCTTCTTCCCATCCCGCGCGTCATTACGAGCTACCCAGAGGCCATACACTGCTTGAATCATCACTTGTTTTTCCTCATCAGCCGCCTCCGCAAACCATCCAAGGAGCCAGTTTGCAAGCGCATTCTGGGAGTCCATAGGAAACGGCGGGAGTACCATCGTGACGCCCTTCTCTGAATGCAGCTTCTGCCAGAACAATGACGAATGTTGACATGCCCAGAACCTATGATAGATGGTTTCTTCCCTGCCGCATGCCACACAGAAACACCCGGTTTGATCCAGCGTCTATGTAGTTCAGACCCCACTGCCAGACCATTACGAACAAGTCGCCACATGTGGATTTTAGCTTTCCCCGGAGCATTAGTACTCCAAATGCCAAGGTAACCTTTATGTCGCTGCACTGAGCTCGACGAGCCTGGCTGTCCAGCTCTCGCAAGTTTCCTCAACATGGCCAAGTGATAGGCAGACTTAACATTGAAAATTCCATTCTTAGTGTAGTTCCAGGCTTGGTAGTCCTCCACCCCCACTCCTCCAACAGCAATCTGCAGAATATCCTGGGCATCCGAAGGCGAGAACATGGCCGCAACTTTGGCCTCATCCCATCCATTTGCCTGATCTGAGAGTAGGTGAGCCACCTTAGTCGTGCCCGGGAGGAACGCTTGCCCCAGTGGTCTCAAGCAACCAGACCGCGGGATCCAGTTGTCATGGTGGATATTAATAGACGATCTATCCATCCCCTACTCGCCAAACCAGCCCTTCCCTCAGCAAGTCCCTTCTA